ATAAATTCTTTGTCCTTCCAACAAAAGTTGAGAGCAAAACTGAAGACTTTATCATCCAGTTTTTGATAGAAAGTGGAACAAAAAAACTTTAATGTGTCTCTAAGTCGACATTATTCCGTAAACTGTTTGGACCGAATGCTTCGTTATAAATTTCTGTAGATTTTCTTTGGGTAGTTGAGATTAAAATCTCATCTCTAACCTGGACTGAGTGCAGATTATTGAAAACAAAACAAAAAACTAGCTTTTTATTTCTTAATTGTTGTCAAAATATTTACTTGATTTCTTTAAGCCCGTATTGCTAAATCTGGCATCATTACAACCCCGTTTGATGTGAACTCTGCTAATTTAACGTAAGTCAGAAATGTTTCCGTCGCCCGTTCGTTCGTAGCCAGTGGACAGTCAACATAACTCTGTTTGTCGTCGAAACGTATCGTTCTACTGCATTTAGAAAAGTTAAACTGAAGTTTCTTGTTCTGCTTCTTGAAATTAATTATGAAGCAAATATTTGTACAAGTTAACAGTTTAATTTAGGAGCTTTAAGGTGATGCGTTCTGTTTTGTTACATGTTAGATTTTCTTGGTAACTGAACTATTTGAGACTTAAAAAGCCAGTATTATGTATTTTCCTGGCACATGGTGACATTTTATAACTCAATTCAGTAAAATGTTGCTTATGTTAAACATAACGTTGAAGTAATTTCACTTTGTATTTAACGCCTTAAAATTGGGCCACCGTCTCTTTAAGAAGCTTCAACTCTTTCCGACACTCTGTCTTCTGTACGTCCCACCGTTTCTCCGTCACTGCCGTTTGTAATCGTTCTTGGCAGCCGTGGACTGAGTCGTCGTTTGTATTTTAAACTCAGCAGTTGCACGGTTCCACCAGGTGTTTGCCAATTGCTGCTGCCGCTAGTCTGAAGGAGCTGAGTGTGGACTGACAAGGGAATAACATGATTACACGACATAAAGCTAGAAAAAGTCAGTTTCATATCATTTAGCTAAAGCACTCTGAAAACATTGTTGTTTAATTAACGGTTATGATTTGTCAGGGTGTCAGCAGTCTTTAATTTATGCATTGAAGGCCTTAAAGTCTTTTTTTTTTAAAGTCTTAGGTTTTGTTGCGGCAGGCCTAGTTTTTTATTTTCTCATGAGACTTTTCAGTCAGGCAAATGTTTGATTCTGACATTTTCATTATGTCCCATCCCTTGATACGGTTGAGGCTACCGCTAACTAGCCGCTAATATCCCTCCGTTAGCCGCCTGACTAACTTTATAAGAAAGCACAAATTTATCGGCAGTTGGCTGGAAGACGTTCGTACGTTTCTGTGGACATAAAAGTCTTGCTCTTAAATTTGAGTTCATTTTGAAAGGTTGAATTTTCATCAGGCACTTCAAAGCAGTCCTAAAAACAGCATTTTTGTGCTTATGGGTTTACAAATGTGAACAAAAGGTTTGTGGCTATTCATCTTACTCGGTTTGTCATAGTGTTAAAAATAGTTGATTTTTCTGCTCATAATCTACTTTTATTCAGCAGAATATTGAATATTTCAAATCAAATTTATATGTTTGCATGACATAACAAATATGCTCAAAATCTGCTTTTATTCACTGATAAGAAAGCTGTGCATCCTAACATTTTAAATTGACCAAACAGATGATATAATTTAGTGTCAGTGCGTTTCTGGGTCCCCTTGATAAACTAACATTGTTCTGCAGTCGTTGGGTTCTGGTTCTGGTTCCGGCTTCGAGGTGAGTCTGTGGAGTGACGAGAGGAAACCAAAAAACCCGTAGATTGACACCGAAGCCAAACCTCTCTCACTTGACTATTGCAGGGTTCCAGCTTCCTCCCAGTGGAAAGCCTTTACAAGTAAACAATAACAAACAAGCTTCTACTTCTTTCTTGTCACCATTGCTAGACAAATGTTTATGGATCAGCAAGGAGACGAAAAATGCGTCCTTTTGAAGGTTTTCAACGCAAGGCTATTGTAATTTGTCCCACGGACGAGGATTTTAAAGAACGAACATTAAAGCAAACCAATGAGCAGGGGAAGGATGTGCCCGATCATGCTGTGTTAGAAATGAAAGGTAGGAATGCTGTGGAAACAAATTTAAACAAACAAAAATAATTTAAGAAAAAGAAACGATCTATTTTTTATTTTACTTTTTCTGTGTTGTCTCTAAAATCAAACTTGGAAGATGTCCCTTCCCTCCCTCCTCCCCCTTAAACCCACCAGATATCAGACCTGGACTTTTATTTTTTATTTATTTTATTTTTTTAAATTTGATTCCTATTTTTGTCCCTATTTCTGCCACTTTCCATTCAGACTCGAACACGCTGCAAACCGAAACTCGTTTCCTGTTCAGTTCAGATTGAAAACCAAATTTAGTGGCTTATCGGCCATTAAACGGTCGCTTCCTTTCGAGTTGATTTCCAAAACCGCTCCAGGATCTGTGTTTGGTCTGCGGTGATGTTCCCTCTTCACTACAACTTTTTAGTTGTCCTTTTTGTCCCCCGTCTCTTCTGATGTCCCCCTTCCTCTCTGTCTGTCTGAACAAATGTTTCCTCCTGGAGGCGACCTTTGTTCCCTTTGCTTTCTTTATCTGCTTTTGTTTTTGTCGCCTTTGCGTCGTACTAATTATTTCTCGTTTTTGTCTTCCGGTGGTGTGGCTGCTCTGGTCTTCACTACACTCCTCCCCCTCCCCCCGCCCCCGTCTCTGTCTCCCCGTTTCTCTCCACCCGTCTCCGCTCGAATGGGTGGCCGCCCCTCGAAGCCAACTTCACGCTGCCGGAGCCGTGCGACTTCCTGGAGGATGTGGGGTTTGTGGAGCTGCAGCGCGAAGACGCCGAGAAGCTGCTGAAGCAGTACAACGAGGAGGGCCGCAAAGCCGGCCCGCCGCCTGACAAACGCTTCGACAACAGGCAGGGCGGCTTCCGCGGACGCGGCGGCAGCGGCAGCTATCAGCGCTACGACAACCGTGATGGGTTTCGTGGCGGCTACCAGAACCGTAGCGGAGACGGAGGCAGCGGGTACAGAGGAGGTGAGGCGCTTAACTTTTCTTTATTGACATTTTTATTATTACAATAAAACACACCAAACACAAAGGACTTGGGGAACTGATTGGTATTTTTAGTGGGAAAAAACAAGGTCAGCTGTAAGTGATCCGCGCCATCTTGGTAAGCAAGTGCAGCGCAACGCTTTGAGACCAACAAAGCGTCGCGCCCACAAGCTCGAAAAAGATACCTGGACAAAATGGCTGCTGTTAGGATCGAGCCGGAGAAGTAAAATATCAGACGATCTCGTTTTTGTTTTGTACTTATTTAAAAGATGGAGATTTGTTATTTATTTTGTCTTTTTGTTGCTCAGGTTACAACCGCGGCAGCTACAACCAGAACCGATGGGGTAACAGTTACCGTGACGGCGGCTCGGACACACGCGGCAGCTACAACCGCAGCCAGCAGTCGGGCGGAAGCTACAACCGCCCGGCTTCCTACAACAAGACGGGATACAACCAGGTAGCTGCAGTTCCCCTCACCCGGTGGGGTTTGGTTTGGAGTCGGAGATGTTTTACAACCTCGCGTTGCTTTGGCCAGCAGGGCTACAGCCAGAGCTACAACCAGGGCTACAACCAGGGCAGCTACAACCAGAACTACTACAGCAACTACAGTCAGTACCCAGGATACAGCCAGAGCTACAGCCAGACGCCCACGACCGCACAGACCTACAACCACCACCAGCAGCCGGCGGCGGCGCAGCAACCGCCGGCGCAGCAACAGCAGAGCTACAACCAGCAATATCAGCAGGTCAGGCAACTTCTCCTCCACAAGCACAGATGGAATGTTTTAAATGGCAGAATCAAGTTTACTGAAGCTAAGTAAAGTAAACTTATGCAGGAAAACTCAGAAAATGTAAATATTTTTATACAGTTTTGGAATATTTGCTCTTTTATTTTATTTTTTTATTGAATGGCCTTTTTTTGAGTCTTTGTGTTTCAGTTAATCAATTAATAACTAACCTGATTAATCGTTTCAGGTCTAGGTTACGACAGTTCGATCAAACTGTTCAGTGCGCTGACTATTTTTCCCTCCGTCGTCTCTTCCAGTACGCTCAGCAGTGGCAGCAGTACTACCAAAACCAGAACCAGTGGAACCAGTACTACAGCCAGTACGGCGGTTACCCAGGACAGGGCAGCCAAGGCTCGTCTTCTGGTTCCCAGTAGCTTCCTCCTGCATCTCCTCCTTCCCCAACACCTGTGACCTCTGACCTCTGCAGCTGATCATTATTGTTTTTGTACAGTTTAAGTCACCAACTATGGATCCTGTCCGTCTTAACGCGCTAGCCTCCCGTTTCTCACGCGCCGTTATCCAGTTCGATGTGGGATTATTTTCACTGAGCACTGAACGTGAGGTGGTAGATGATAGATATTCTAAACTCGTAATGAATGTTATTGATTATGCATCAGATGTGGATGCCTGGCGTCCATATTCCCCTCAGTTTGAAGAGGTGGCTGTGTATATTTATAGGCTACAGCTTGAGAAGACAGGAAGAAACAGCCTGACTGAGCTTAACGGAGAACAAATGCATGCTTCTTACCTTTTCTCCCCCTCGTCTCCTCTCTTGCTCTTTGCTTTTCAGTTACGGAGTGAGCATCTTTTATTTACCGCTAAAGAAACCGAGCATTATGGAGCATTTTTATAGGTGTTGGTACTGTAGTATTTAATCTGACCTTTTGATTATGAGTAATCCTTTGCCGCTTGTGTAGTTGTAATTTGCTTTATTTTTATATGATTTCCATCCCTGTTTTTTTTTGCTTTTAAATTGCTGTTCATTGAGTCCTGTAGTTAAAACCTGTTTTTTTTCTACCTTAAAAAAAAAGAATCAGTTTTTGACCAGTTACGCCAGCTGTCTTGTCTTTATACAATAAACACAGTTGTAAACGCCTACAGATGTGTGGAAAATGTCTTTTTGATTCCCAATTTCTAAAGGAAAGTCAAACAACACATAGCTTATGACTGTATTTGTGTTTCTCTTTATTTTATTTTTTTTTTTTGATAAAACTGAAATCAACAAAGGACAAAAGGAGGAAGATGAGAATAATCAGACTGTGTGTTCCAGTGCAGTCCTGCTGAACCGTAAATGAAGAAATTTGAAGTTATTTTCAGGGCAGGAAAAAAACATTTTGTTTGCATGTTGCTTTAAAACAGAATCGAGTGGTGCAGGAAGAATCCAGTGTTGCGCTGCATTCCAGTTACCTCGTACAATAGAGTACTAGGGCCATGCTAAAAATATAAAATGAGAATAAAGTTGAAATAATAAGTAAATGACAGTTATGTTACAACTTTTCTTATATTCAACAAAATTGTCATTCTGTTCTCGTAATACGACTTTCTCGTATCATTTTGACTATTTTCGAAGTTGTCCTAAGTCAAAATACGAGTTTTAATAGGTTATATCATAAGTAGAAATGCAAATCCATTAAAAATGCAAACCGCAAAAAACAGATTGAGTCATTAAGAGACTAAGATCAAAATTTGAGAAGTCATACAAATACTTGTATTATTTTGACTTCATTACTGTTTTACTTTAATTTGAATTTATTTTCTGATCGTAGCCCTGGTACTGGGAACTAAAAGCTGGATTTTACCCAAAACACCAACATGGCGATGCCCATAAACATTGTTTTCAATACATTTCAAGTTTTACTTTCTGCCTTTAGTTTTTGTTGTTTCAGACGCCACATGCAACATTGATTTGAGGCGCATTTTTACACAACTTGTAAAATAAACATGTTTCCACCACATCTTGCCGCTATTGATGTGAGGAGCGGCCACATTGAAACCGGAAATCGGCCTCCGCTGGGGGTAGTTGGTGTTCCGGCTCATTTTTCCCAGTTTCAGTGAAATGATCAAATTCAATCCCAAATAAAGTCATGCGTTTACTTACCCAATTTACTAATCATTCGTCATATAGCTGCCGAAGTTGAACTACATAATTGTTTTTGCTGCTTAGTGTTAATTTCCTACCCTGCTCCTGTGTGTTAAGCCCAAGAAATGTCTGTAGGTTTGCAGAAATTTATCTTAGCACCAGAAATGCAAGGCACATGTTCTTAAAATAAAACAAGGTTTTCATAAATTACATAAGAAACAAACAAAACAAACAAACAAACAAAAAAAAACTCCAGAGTCAAACTAACAAGAACGTCACAACTATGAAGTCCATTTACAGCCAAAAGTCTCGTGAGTTTGACGTCGGCGGCGGAACAAACATGGCGGCGGCGCCGGGTGGCTTTTTGTCCGAGCAGGAGGAAGAGCGTTCAGTCCGGCTCTCGGCTTTTCTCTTTGTGCAGATGCAGCTCGTCCAGCTTGTCCTGAAGGAAGGAAACCGGCATGGAGCAACCTCTGCTACGATGCGGCAGCGTCTTGGTCTGGAAGGTGAGCGAAACGAGAAAACCGTTACGGAAAACCGTTAACCTCCGTCATCATGCTAACTAGGCTCCCAGAGAGAAACGGGGCGGGTGAAATCAGTGCGTACATGATAGTGATTGGCAGAGCTAAGAGCCGCCCCCTTGCTCTGATTGGTTGTTTCTGACAGAGCGGTTTCCTTGCTCTGATTGGTTGTTTCTGACAGAGCGGTTTCTTTCTGTCTCACATTATACTGACGTCACTACAAATGTATTTAAAGAATACATTTAATAATTAATCATAATTATTAATTATGATTAATAATTATGATTATTAATCATAATTTTATGATTAATAAAAACATGGAAATTTATTAGTTTGAAAAGTCAAAATATTTGCAAGAAATAACTCAGAAATGTTGATATTGTCAGAAATTTTCTAAAAAAAAACAAACAAAAAAAAATATTGTTTTTTGAGTTTGAAACGCTTACAATTTTTTCAAGTTTGAAACTTGAGCTTAATCTAAAAATGTAAATTTTTCCAGCAAAATTAATTTAGACTTTTGGGACTCAAAAATGTTCTTATTTTTCTAGAATTTTTTATTTATTTTTTGGGGCAAAAATGTACTCCTTTTTTTCTACCATGGTGTCGTAAAAAAACATTGTTTAATCAGGAATTAAAACCACTTTTCTTATTAAAATTTTAAACAATTACTCTTTAAAGTTAAAACAGCTTAAAATTTATGAGTGCAGTTTCCTTCAGCTGTGATTTATTTAGAAAAGATACATTTACAGGATATTTTTAGCACACAGTGTTTTTCACTTAAAGTAGAAGGTATTTTACATCCTGCAGCTTTGAATTTGATGTCAAAATATATTCTATAGTGAAATCTGCTCTTGAAAAATCAAACTAAACTTGGCATAAAGATCCCGTCTTTCTGTCAGGTGTGTTTACGTCTCACCCGTCTGTCAGGGGACGCATGTCCAACACAGTTGAGGTGGTTTCCTCTGCGGTCCCTCCTCTCGGGCGTCCAGACCCCGGGGTCGGTCTGAGTGGAGCGGTCCGACAGCGTGGAATCGCCTGAGTTCTGTGTCCAGTCTGACGTTACTCTGTTTTGTTCAGTGTCGTTGCTTGGGGGGAAAACGAAAGCCTCTTCTTCTGAACCTGGTGGATAGAAACACATGTAAGGTTATTTACACAGAGGTGTGTGTGTGTGTGCTGGATACACGGTGGATGAAGTACACACTCCAGCTGTTGCCCTTGGTTCTGGAGTCAGGACCGGGAGTGCACGGACACGACCCAGTTGTGTTTTTGTGTTTCTTCTGGCAACCCGTCCGCACCAGATCCCTGCAGTGTCGGTGGCAGTTTATCCCACAATCTAAGAGCAAGACGCACAACAAGGAACAAAATTAACGAAACATTTTAAAGGTTCCCTTAAAAAGAGAACAAAAAGTAAACAGGCGAAGATGATGTGGTCAAACATTGACGGTAATTATGTAGGTTCTGTAGCTCGGCTTGTCGAAAGAAAAATTAATTTGTTACTCACTTTAGATTTATAAATGTCACAATCCCCAAACAAACTATTTTGATTCCAGTTAAACATTTATCTTGGAGAAAATGTTTAGTTTGCTAAATCAACTGTTATCACCAAGCTAAACATTTAGCTCCATGCTAAATATTACTAAATGTTAAGAACCAGGCAAAAATATTCAAAAACAATTCAGATTTCCAAATAGTTAGTTAATCAACTAACTATTTATCTTGGAATAGTATTCAGTGATACCAAGCTGAATACTTAGTTTGGAGCAAAGCTATATATTTAGTTTGTTAATTGAACATTTAGTGTCAACACACTAAATATTTAGAACCACATAATCAGTCACATATTTAATTAGCTTGGAGCAATAATGCAACAATCAACTCCATGTCACTTTAAGTTCATTTTCTCCTTTAATAACAGCAAACATGATGAATGTGTGTGTGGTGGACGTTACCTTTGCAGTGGTAGCCCTGTTTGATGACGCCCCACAGCTGGACAGGGCAGAGACGACAGGTCACTCAACATTCACCAAAAACCAGAAACACAGCAAACCGCTGATACTCACGAAGCCTCCACACGTGTCGCAGAACGTCGGCCGCTTGTACGTCGTCTCGTGGAAGTTGTGCGTTTCGTTGAAGTTGTAGCCCAGCTTAGCGCAGACCGACATTCCTCTCATGAAGTAAGAGGTGATTTCTTCTCGGCTAATTTGCCCCTCCCTGGGAAAAAGTCAGAACCCAAAATTATGACTTTTTAAAAAAATTCAATAGATTTTTTTCTAGATTATTGTTTATTTGATAGGGACAGATGCACACAATTTGATGCCTGCTTCACAATGTTCAGTAAAAGTAGAAAATCCTACCAAGAATTTTTGGCCTAGTTTCTAAAGCAAATAATAATTAATAATTGGTTCATGTTGATGAAAAAGCACCAGTTCCACTGGCAGATTAGTTCACTTCTAATACAGGTGTAAAACTCAAGGCCCGGGGGCCAAATCTGGCCCGCCGTAGCTTTTTATGGGGCCCCCAAGACTCTAAATCACATAAATAATTCCCTTCAGTTTTTCACAAATCTACAAAATTCACACAAAATCAACAAATCTCCAATTTTTTTTTCTGATTTCACTGCAAATTTTCTTAAATTTGGCCAAAATCATTGATTGATAAAACGTCAAACATCGTAAAAATTCCTATCAAACATTTCTAAATTTTGATAGGAAATCAAACAGACAGTAAAACAATCAGAAAATCCTGAAGGAACAGCTACTTATTGACATTTTAACAATTTAATTGGTTTTATTAATGCATTGTGGCCCAAACGGGCCTTTTAAGAACATCCGGATTTTTGATGTGGCCCAAAATGAAAACAAGTTTGACACCCCTGACTTACAACAAGACATTTTTCTCATTATATGTGAAATAATCTGTCAGTGGAACTCGACCTGCGTTGCTAGGTTACGGACTGAACTCGACCTGCGTTGCTAGGTTACGGACTGAACTCGACCTGCGTTGCTAGGTTACGGGCTGAACTCGACCTGCGTTGCTAGGTTACGGGCTGGGCTCGGCTGGGGTTGCTAGGTAACAGTGGACCATTCTACCAGTTGAACCAGAAAAACTTTTTCAAGGTTTCAAGGATTTGCAGCTTTGCTTGTTTGTGGTGCAAAATTTGGACTCAGATCCCAGATTAAGACATCTAATAATAAAAAATATATTATAAAGTAATAACCCTTTTCATCAGTATTCAAGAGTTATTGACTTAAAAGTTAAAACCAGATTTTATTTCTTGCCTAAAAGTTACTTGTAAGTTAGTTTTGTCTTATTTGAAGATATTTCACGGCAGAAAACAGGAAGTGACTTGGTAATATTTAGTGCTTTTTGCAGAGCTGAGCCGCACCTGTCAGTTTCTTGAGTGCAGTAGGTGAATGGAAAGTTGGCTGCTATTTTCTCAAAGTCCTCCAGTGAAATGTAGCCGTCCTGGTTCAGGTCGTAGTTCTTCATGATGGACTGCAGGGCGCAGCAGAGAAGCAGAAGTCGCTGAATGCCAGTTCTGCTTTAGGAGCGTCTGAATGCGCGGAAGTGAAAGGCGGGAGCGTCGTACTCACATCCACCATCTGTTTGACGTGTTTTGAGATGGTGTCGGAGTCCAGCCGGGGGGTGACCCCAGATCCCCATTCTGCCACTACCGGCGGTTTAACAGGAGCGACGGGCTGTGGACCGACACACCAAGGACTGTGAGAAACAAGAAGAAAAAGCACACCCACCACATAATACACTTCCCTAACGTACGACTCTTTGATGTGGTTGGCTTTGAAGTATTTCTGCATAGCGCCTGTGCTTTTGGTTTCAAAACGTTACACCCACAGAAAGCGAGAAGATGTCCATTTTGTTTTGTGACAAACAGGCTGCATAAGCTCAGATCTCCGTACCTGAATCTTGGGGTTTTTGGGCTCCTTGTTGTACGACAGCTCATATATCTCATCCTCTGTGTAGTACAAATCTAAAGACAGCTAAAGATTTAAAAGACACATAAATTAAGATGCTCTTGAACTGCGTGGCGGCCATTTTTGGCTTTGTCTCGTTCGTCCTCTTGTCCCCCACCGTGAGCAGGTGCAGAAGGTCTTTGTTGGCCTCGAACGGCGGCTTGCAGCTGTGAATGGCCAGCAGGTCGTTGATGTTGCTGTACAGGTGCTGCAGTTTGCTCAGGTTGATCTTCTCCTCGTCGATGTAGTCCGGCAGCGCCTCGTTGAGCGAGATCAGGTCCTTCAGGTGGACGCCCAGGATGGGCACCTTGAAGCCCCTGCAGTCGTTGTAGACGCGCCGGTAGTTGCTGTAGTTGCTCCGCGAAGAGAGGAGTTCTGTGAATTCACTCAGGACCTGTTGGGCAACGAAGAGCGGGGAAACGTGAGGTTGATTCAACCTGATACTGTCAATCGATTGACAAAATTTAATCACACCGTGATCAATGATATCATGATGTATCATGATTCATCACATCACGATGAAAAATGATTGATCGTAATGTATTTATTCATGATGTGAATAATCATTATCAATCGCATGATTAGTTATGATTAATCACAGTTAATCATAACGTGATTATGATTAATCATGATTCAAAGCATCTTTCATCTAATTTATTATGATTAGTTATTAATGTGATTAATTGAAAGAAACCTGAACTTTAATCAACTTTCGTTGCCCAAAAGATTCACAATTAATTTTAATTAATCACATCATGATTAAATTGTTAAATCGACTGACAGCATCGCTGACAGCCCAAAGAAAAAAACCATGATTAATTGTGATTAATCGTGATTAATTGGGACTTTTTGACAAGATATAGAGGCTTGTTTTAAATCAATAATTTATATAGGTGTATTTCCATTGGCAGCTTTACAGCATCATTTCTGACCGATAAACAAACCAATAAATCAGCTCAGATTCCAGATGTATGTCCTTGTCAAACTGATCTTTTCTACCAATTTCTAACTTCCTCTTCCACCTGACTGGCAGATCACGTCTGCATGACCAAATTATTTGACCTTTACAATGTGTTGACATCCTGAGTGAAACTGAAGCTTGTCTTTGTTCTGGCACCTTCTCATTTACAGATTTAGCTTCAGCTTTCATTTACTTTTTTTTTTTTTTTTTTTTTACTTTAGCTATAAAAAGCTACATATTCTGGTTCTCCTTTAAAATAATTTACATTTTGCCTTTCAAACTGAAACTTTACTGTTCATTTTAACTGAAACGTGAGATTTGATCTGTATTTTGGCGTCCCTCAGGGCGCCATTGTAGGACCATTTCTTTCACTTATTCTTGGTTAGATTAGAATCAGTTAAACTCACTCTAAGCAGATTATTTCCACTTGTATTGTTAATTTCACTAAAATGATCAAACCTACTTAGATCTTTTCATTTAGATTATAAATGTTTTCATGTGTCCTCTTAAAAAAGACATTTGAATGCCTCATGATGGTACAAATATTTTTGATGGCTTAATGATCAGAGAAAAGGGATTTAATAAACATTAAAAGAGTGAAACCATCAGGTGCAAAGTGCCTAGTCAAAGTTTTACAAATCCACCTCACCTGAAGGCATAGCCTGGTTTTGTTGATCAAAATAGAATAGTCCGTTTTGCATTTGTCTTGGCTGCTGATATGGAAATATTAAGCAAATCCACCACACATCAGCATCCATATGTTATAGAAGAAAAGCCTGGACAGCAAACAGGAAGTTTAAACAGACTTTTCACTCTGACAAAACGCTTCAAAACATCACAGGGGATCATATCTGTTGATCCACTGAAAGCTGATTTGTGTTTTTACTTTCAGTGGCCAGAATCCAGTTTTTATTTTTAACCAAAAACTTTTTAGTTTGTTTTACATCACAGTGTAGAGAACATTGATCCATTTCATTAATTTACTTTTATAATTAGAACTGCAGCTTTAGAGGCAAAGTCATGGTTCATGAGCTAAATGTTTAGCCTTAACCTAAAGAATTAGCTCTGATTCACAAGCTAAATATTTAGCCTTAAGCTAAAGAATTAGCTATGATTCACAAGCTAAATATTTAGCCTTAAACTAAAGAATTAGCTCTGATTCAAGCTAAATATTTAGCCTTAAACTAAAGAATTAGCTATAATTCACAAGCTAAATATTTAGCCGTAAGCTAAAGAATTAGCTCTGATTCACAAGCTAAATATTTAGCCTTAAGCTAAAGAATTAGCTATGATTCACAAGCTAAATATTTAGCCGTAAGCTAAAGAATTAGCTCTGATTCACAAGCTAAATATTTAGCCTTAAGCTAAAGAATTAGCTATGATTCACAAGCTAAATATTTAGCCTTAAGCTAAAGAATTAGCTATGATTCACAAGCTAAATATTTAGCCGTAAGCTAAGAATTAGCTATGATTCACAAGCTAAATATTTAGCCTTAAGCTAAAGAATTAGCTATGATTCACAAGCTAATATTTAGCCTTAAGCTAAAGAATTAGCTCTGATTCACAAGCTAAATATTTAGCCTTAAGCTAAAGAATTAGCTCTGATTCACAAGCTAAATATTTAGCCTTAAGCTAAAGAATTAGCTCTGATTCACAAGCTAAATATTTAGCTTCAAACTAGATACTTTGTTTGAAAATAAATGCTTTGTTCGAAGCTAGCAGTATATTAACAAACTAAATATTTAGTTTGCTGTCTACATAGTTTGAAATTAAATATGTACGTTGTAACGGAATTAGCTTATTTAGATTACTAATGTCTAGCATGCTAACTAGCTTTCATCAATGCACTGTGGGGATAAACTGTTGACTTTCATGAATGAACCAGTCAAGAAAATTTGCTTAATTTATATATTTATTTAACAAAAATTTTAACCAAGTGAAGCAAAAATTGTCCCTAAAGGATTTCTGGGTTGAACATATTTTCAGATAAATACGATTTTCTTTTTTTATTTTAATTTAAAGGCAAAATGTATTTCTTATTTTACAGATTTGGCTTAATTACTGCTCTGACTATGTTATTTTTTCACCAAACTGCCTTTTTTGAGTCTCTATACTCTGCATAACTAACTATTAATTGCCAATTAGTCGGATTAATCACAACTAATCCTTTCTGTCTTTTAAGGTAATATCTGGAACAAACCAATTTATCTTGGAGGTCAGCAGTCTGACTGTGAGGTTGAGTTTGGTACCTTAGTGATGTCAGGGGGCAGCAGGTTGGACGTGTCTTTGAGGCGAGAGATCGAACTGTGACAGAGGCCTCCGGTCACCGCCATTAGAGTGTTAAAGTTTTGCAAGGCTCTCAGTTTCTAAAGGAGGAGAAAAACAAAAAGCATCTTAAAACAATTTGAAAATGAGCCCATGACTCCCAACACTGCAAAAAGACAAACTTTACCAAGTTTTTTTTGGGGGGAGGGTTCTACTGGAAATTTCTTAGTACACTGGAAATTAGACACAACTAACTTATAAGTAACTTTTTTAAATAGGTGTTTGGTTAAATCAGTAATTTCTTGATATTGATGAAAAATCACTAGTTCCACTGATATATTCTACTTTTGACAATTCCCATATTATAAGTGAAATAATCTACCAGTGGATCTAATTATTGTGTATCTTGTTATTTCTCATCAATATTAAGAAATCATTTACTTAAAACAAGCTTCTACATCTGGCTGAAAAGTTACGTCTAAATCATTTTGTCTTATTTCAGCTACATTAAGATGTTTGCACCAGAAATTCGAGCAAACATATTTGGTCATATTTTGTGTTTTTGCAGTGCTAGTATGTTTCCGGTTACCTGAGCCACATGGATGTACTTGGTGAAGACCTGGGCTCTCTGCTGGGCCGTGTGTCTGCTGAGGATCATCAGCTGGACCCACTGCGAGACGCCGTTGCACATCATGACAGATCTCTCCAGCGCTGGGTTGTCCCTCACAGAGCCTCGCACCACGTAGCTGCGGTAGTCCAGGAACTGACCAGACAAAATGCATCGTATGAAAAATCAGCAACTGAAGCTTCTCACAGATTTTACAGATGACTTTTCAGTTTCTATCCTTTAATCTGTGACGAAAAGAGAAATGCAGTCACTTTAAGATGCTGCTGCAGGGTAAGCTCACACTGAAAACGTGTGAAAACACGTCCTTTAATCACTCAAAAAGAAAAATCACATCTTTAGAAATAATCTAAAGCCATGCTTAAAGGAACTCATAAAGATTCATATGAATGCATTTATTTTCTTAAATAATAAATTAATTAGTCTCTAAAATCTTTGATTAGCAATAATCAGTAACTTCCTAAAATGACCTGAAGCAGAGGTCAATTTACCCTCTAACTAAAGAAGTGATTCTGCTGAAACGATTCATCGGATTAATCGTGATTAATCGTGATTAATCGGATTACTCGTGATTAATCGTGATTAACCGGATTAATCGGTTTAATCGTGATTAACCGGATTAATCGTGATTAATCAATTATTGAAATAGTTGTGAACTAATGTAGCAATCAATTAATCGTTAACTGGAGTATACAGACTCTAAAAAAAAGACAAGTCAATGGAAAAAAACAACATAATCAGAGCAGTAATTAAAACAAAACTTTACAAAAATGCAAATATTTAAGATAAAAACATTCTGTTTGTAAACATGTTTCACCCAGAACTACTCAAGTGGAAGTTTTAGCTTCACCTGGGTCAAATTCTGTGAAAATATCTTCAATTAAACACCTTTTGTGATTCAGTCATTGATCAGAAATATAAACAAATCAGCTCTATGCTGTCCTGAAGCAGAAAGAGCTTCTAGCATGTTGATGTTATTTCCCTTGGCAACAAATGATCAAGCGTTCACTAAAATAATACCGTTGTTGCATTTTAGGTAATAAAACATTTACTTCTCATTAGAAACAGCAACTGGTGCATTTGTTTATTTACATTTTTAATTTATTTGTAATATTGTGGAAGTGGTTAAATGAGAAACCTGCAGAATGAGCCATTTTTAATCTGATTAATCAATACAATAATCGATTAATCTATAGAACAACCGATTAATCAATAGAGTAATTGATTATTAAAACAACTGTTAGTTGTGGATCATCAGCTGGACCCACTGTCTTGGTTTTGTTTCTAGTCACTTCTAGTCCTCTGGTCAGCCATTTTCTAAGCTGTGTGCTGTTTGTCCCTGGAGAAGTGACACAGATTATGGCATTTAGGTCATTCAAGGCTTTGCAGTCGAACAGATGTTGAAATCAAACTTTGCACTTTCAACCAGGTGGCACCGAAACTGATGACATTTTGCATGAGAGAAAACAACAAAAAAAAAAAGCAAAAACACAAAATCTTACCAAATAATTTTGGTTTAGTTTTCAGTCCAAATATCTTAGTTCACTTGAAATAAGATAAAATACAAACTTGTTTTAATTCCACTTATTACAGATTTTTCCTGATTTACAAATGCAATAATTTACCAATAAAACTCAAACTTTTTTTTCATCAATATTACTGATTTAAGCACCGATATCTTGCTGAAAAGTTAGTTCTGTCTTATTTCAAGTGTGCTATGATGCTACCTGGTGAGATTTTGTGTTTTTTGCAGTGTATGTTTTACGTTGGCTGGATATTATCAAGAATTTTGAAAGAAATTTTGTTCTTATAATTCAGCATAAATTTGCTCAAACGAGTCTAAAATGAGACGACTTTCTTTCAATACATCAAACTTTTAAAGTTTTGGTTCTATAATGAATAACATTTATTTTCTACAAAAATAATTTTTAAAAAAAGTAAAAATTTGATGATTTTATTTGCTTGATTTTAGGTTTTAGTTTGTTTTGGGGGGGTTTTGCCAGCGAATAATTTTGACTGTAATTTTGGACCACGTGACAAAATTTCATCTGAGTTGAAATCGATAATGAATGACTAATTTATTTTGTTTTAAACGTCTGAAATTCTGGCAAACTAGTATCCGGACATTCAGTTTTCTCTCCACATCTTTTTTTAAATTGATTTTTAATTTGAAGTGATTTTGATACGCGGTGGGGAAACTTGAAACTGCCACACAAGTTACTCTCAAGGTCGAGTGAGGTAGTTGATTCCACCAACTTCTCTTCGATCAGAGTTCAGTGTCGATTGTTCCATCAGATGTATTATCTATTGATATTGATCACGTATTTATCCTGTTGTTATTGATTTAGTGGTCGTCTGTTTACGCCGCCACTGAGCTGCAAACTCACCGAGACGTTGCAGAAGTTTTTGAACTCCAGGTAGCTCAGGTGCTCAGCCATCTCATCCGGCTCCATGTGGTCGAATATTAGCGACACCTTCCTCTTCTTCACCGAGGGCGAAGGCGCCTGCGATGCGTTCACATGAGGGTTCCTGGGGAAAAAAAAACCCAGAAAAAAACGAAAGAAGAGAATTAGGACAGAAATAGACGCACGTTTTATTTATAGGGAGTTTTCAGACATGCCCAACTGAGCAAACGAAAACTCCTGCAAAAACACAAAACCCCGCCGAGTATTTTTGTCTAGTTTCTGGTGTAAATATCTCAGTTTTGTCTGATTTCAAGTGAACTAACTTACATGCAGCCTGTTGGATAGATATAAGAGCTTCCTGTCAGTCAGTAATTCCTTCACTTAAAAATCTTTCCTGATTTTTAAGTGAAGTAATCTGACAGTAAAACCTTTTCGCCAATATTCAACAGATCTTTCCGAAAGGCTGTTTATAAGTTTGTTTTGTCTCAGATTAAATGTCCTGATATGTTTTGCCAGAAACTGGACTAAAAATACTTGGTAAAACTTTGTGTTTTTGTCGTGCGTCTCTAACAGCAGCCTGACTCACGGGCAGGAGGTGTCGATGAGCTGCGAGTGCGTCTTTTCTCCGTCCAGCCGGACCAGCTCCCACAGGTCCCCCATGGTCTGCTCCAGGAGGGGGTCCTTCTCAAAAACAGCCGGGAACTGGCTGATCCACTGCCTTGGCCCCGGAGCCCAACACAAAACATGTTTACAACTCGCACACCGAGCCGCAGGACCGTTTCTGCCGCTGCCCTCACTCACCTGACCAGGTGGCAGATCTGCGCCCGCCTCAGTCCCCGTTTGTCCAGCGGACAATCCTTATATGTGACAGGAAGTGGAGTCAAAGATTCAAACCTGAATGAAGGACGTGAACTCCAAGCTGCTCTGCAGGAGTCCAAACAAAGCGCCGGCTGTTCGCTGATCTGATTATAACTTTCTAAACATGTGATTTTGGAGCGGAGCGCCAGTCGGTCCAGCAGCAGCGGCTCAAAGGATATAAGGTGAGGAGTTTCTGAACGAACATCTGAGACGGGACCACCCAGCTGTGCATCATCAGGGTCATGTGGACCAGCTGCGAGCCGCGGGAGCTGGAGGTCCTCCCCTCCGAATCTGGGAGGAAAAACACAAGGATGCGTTTATTGGGATGAATTTATTCAAAATGGGACAAAGTAGAGAACACAGGACCAGCTCCCTAAAATGGTAACTTCCACTTGTTCTCCCCACAAAACATTCAAATTCAACATGTTTTGTTATAAATGAAACAATCTGCCAATAGAACTGGTACATTTTTAAATCAATATTGAAGAATTATTTACTTAAATCAATTTGAAAAGTTACGTGAAAGTTTGTTTTTATCTTATTATTACAAGTGTGGTGAGATGAAAGTAGGCCAGAGATGTTTGGTTAGAGTTTGTGTTTTTGCAGTGTAAGTGATCTCAGCAGATCTCCAGGTGTTTGTGTTTCAGCTGAGCTGATCGATTTAAAGCAGGAAGAGTTCCTGCATCCCACCTAAACAAAGCTTGATTGTACGAAAACCCTCTTCCCCGTTTTTGTCTCCCTTGCGCTTCTCTTTCTCTCCATTATGTAACCCTGTTTTGATGGCGACTGAAGCCACATGACAAACTCTGCAGGCACGTGTGTGAAGGAGACGGACCGAAACAGTTGAGGCAGCGCTGGATGAGCTCGTCCAGGCTGGCGGCGCTGGCGCTGGGCGCCGACCCGGGGCTCTGCAGGGCCTTGCTGATGTCCTGCGGACTGGGGCATGTGTTCCTCCGGCGCTGGACCAGCTTCCTGCTCTTCGGCCCACCGGGAGTCTCAGCATTGGGTTTCCTTAGAGCGAGACAGAGGATTTGGGGTGGAGGGGGTACAGAGAGCAGCAAACAGATTTAGAACATCCGTTGTCTTGAACTAAGTAGAGCAACTTGTGGCGAGCTCGTCGCGGGTCAGCATGCGCAGAGGCACAGCGCCCCACATCAGATAAACTGAGCTGCATCACTGCAGCTCTCTGAGGCGTCACGCACAGACAGCAGCTCAGCTTCACACTCTGCAGAGAGACACTGGTTGGTTTCATTATTCTAAATCAGACAGAGAGACGCAGCTTTTAGAGGTTTTTGGGTCTATTTACACATTTTAATGCTCTGCAGAAACATAAAACAGTATTTTTGTCTAGTTTAGGATTTGGGTGTCTGGAAATTTCCTAATACACTCAAAGTAAAACAACAAACTTACAACTAACTTTTCAGGGAGATATGTTTTAAGTAGTTTCACCTGCAGCTTGTTTTACTTACAATGTGGGTGAGAAAAATGAGATAATTTGCCAGAGGAGGTAAAATTTTCTATTAAAATTGGTATTCAAGAATTTATAACAATCTCTTATATCTTCATAAAAAAGTTACTTTTAAGCTAATTTTGTCTTATTTCAAGTGGACTAAGATATTTGCACAGGAAACTAGACAAACATAGTTGGTATGATTTTGTGTTTCTACAAAGTGAAACAGTTTAGGCGCTGCAAAAACAAAACAAAAACTATTTGTGGTCTGGTTTCTAGTGCAAATAGCTTTGAAATAAGAGGAAATTAACACTTTTTAAACTTTTTATGTTTCAAGTACAAAGTTCAAATTCACCTGGTGGCATTTTCCACCGACGTCTACATCTACTGGAAAGTGACTTGTGAGTTGTGAACTGTAAATATCGTCTCACTCCACATGCGTGGCGCTTCTTGCACCAGAAACTAGACGGAGGTCCTTGGGAACGTTTTGTGTTTTTGTGCCAATTGATTGCTGAAATATTTTTTTGCAATTGCCGAGGAAAAGATTCAAGCGTGTCATTTTAAACACGTTGTTCACGAGAGAAACCCGGTCGAGCTTGCTGAGTTTTAAATGAACCCGTTAAGCCACGTCGCAATCCGGGGGAGCCCGAAAAAAGTACAAGTTACGTCATTCCTGGATGCCATTGCCACGGCAACACGTCACACACACGCACGCACCTTTGCAAACCTCGCTAGTGCAATTCATGTTGTGAAACACTGGAAATACGGTCCCGTTTGCAGCTCAGCTCTGCAGAGTCACGCAGGACGAGCGCCGTGACGTTTCCAGGTCTCCTTCACGGACGCCCGTTTTTCTGCGTGTCGTGATCAGATTTGCGCTTCCTCTTCAGATCGCGCCGTTGAGCAACTTCATTTCACAACAACAGCAACTCTCTGATTCTGTCGGCTCCCGTTTTGTTAAAGCGCAACTGAAAAGACACCCAGTGGTTTCCTCTGGTTTCAAATATCTTATTACACAAAACTGAATGAAAAGTAACTTTTCAGGGAGAAATATGAGCTTGTTTTAAGGTAATAATTCCCTAATATTGATGGAAAAGCTCTTCTTCAACTGCTAACTATTTCACTAATAATAGAACTTTTCCTATGTCATAATCTGCCAGGAGTTTCTATAAATATTGAAGAATTACTTACTTAAAACAAGCTCTAATTCCTTGTTGAAAAGCTGCTTCTAAGTCAGTTTTGTCTTATTTTAAGTGCAAAAAGATATTTGCACCATAAACTAGGCAATAACACCTGTGAGACTGTGTTTTTGCAGTGACACTGAGGTTCACGTTGAAGTGAAGCTCGTCGTTTTGCTCTCGGCTGCTGGCGATCTGCGTGAAACCGGGTCTCCGCTGACGGCTGTACCAGGAAACGCAGCCGCTTCGCAGAACTCGCAGAGAAGTTCCCTGAACGGCCAGACTTACATCCCCTTCTCTTCACTTCTGTGTGTGCGGCTCATTTCCCCCGGCCTGCCAGCGCACGCACACACACACCCAAACAGAAAACAGGAGCTTCAGTTTGTGCACAACACACAGGGTGTCATTAACTCGTCTATTTATACCAACAGATGCCCCTATGCGCAGATGCACCCAGGTAGAACGCCACACACCCCTCAATGGTGACCCCCGACCCGCTGCAGCGCTGCAGGTGGTTCATGTTAAAACCTGCAAACCCCCCCCCCCCCCCACACACACACACACAGCCTGCTATATTCAAAACACTCCCCAGTACAGCGTGTACCACAGTGGTTCAGCTCACACTGCACTGCAAAAACACAAAATCTTACCAAGTATTTTTGGTCTTGTTTCTAGTTCAAACATCTTAGTGCACATGAAATAAAACAAAACTAAGAAACAGGAGCTTGTTTAGGTCCATAGTTCCTTAATACTGATGTAAAAAGTTCTACTGGAAAATTATTCCAGTAAAAATGTCTTCACTTTGTATAAATATTCAAGTTATTTACTTAAAACAAGCTCCTATATTCTGCTGAAATGTTGCTTATAAGTTAGTTTGTCTTATTTCAAGTGCAAATTAGACAAAAAAAAACTTAAGATTTTGCATTTTTGTTGCATTTCAAAAAAGATTTTCAAGTATTTATGTCTAGTTTTGTGGAAATATCTTGAAATAAGACAAAACATGTTGCTAAAAGTAACATTTTAGCAACATATGAGCTTTTATTAAGCAACAATTCATTAATATTTATTAAAAAGTAACAGGTTCCACTGGCAGATTATTTCAAAAGTGAAATAATCTTGTGTTTCTTGTATTTTGTTGAAAAGTTACACCACAAAAACACAATTTACCCAAAATATATCATCTAGTTTTGAGCACAAACATCTTATTACTTCAAATAAGACAGAAATAAACCAGAGCAAAAAATAGAAGGCTTATTTTAGCAATAATAAAAAGACAAAAGTAACTCTTAAGAGGCGGGTATTTATGTATTTTTGCAGTGTATATATAAGGAAGAAGCAGAAGAAAAGATGCTAAAACAAGAATTTCCTCTTTTTATTCCTTTTAATAAACCTTCTAAAATAAAACCGCAGAAAGTTGATTTTACCCCAAAACCGTAAAATAAATAACCCTAACCCCTGACCCCTAACTCTAACCCTAAATTAAATTAATCACAGTCCTGACTGAGTCTTTGGTTTCTCTTTCAACTGTTTGCCCTTTGACTCGGGGTGAATCCACCTGCTGTCGAAGCAGTCACACACACACACACACACACACACACACACACACACACACACACACACACACACACACACACACACACACACACACACACACACACACACACAGAGCCTGAAAACGCTGACGGGGAAACGTTGTTGATGTCATTACGTTCGGCAGGGAATTTCCCCTCCTTTTTGCACTTCAGGTGCGACTCGCCGCAGTTTCTCTGTTTTTCACTGAGCAACCAGAACAGAGACGGCGCTGTTGGCAAACATGCAAATCTCCACACAAGCGGACTCTGTCTGCGTCCGTTCATTTGCATCCAGCTCTTTCCTGTGAGTCCGGCGGATTCTGGGATTCTAAATTTGACGAAGCTTCCAGGGAAACGAGACGTTCTGGTGAATTTATCCGCCCTGCCTTCCTTTAAGTGGAAATGATTTTTCAATTAAAAATGAAAAAGTAACTTTACCTGCACAATAATAAATGCAATAAGATGTCAGTAGATCTGGGTACTAACTAGTTACATTTACTCCATTACTTTTTTGGAGAAAATTTACTTTTAGGAGTATTTTTACTATGTTGTTCTTTGAGTAATTCTTGTTTTTGAAGTATTTCTGCTCTTACTTGAGTAAATTTCTGTATTTTCTACCCACTAAATGAAAAACAAACATGTTTTAACCAGAAATCCACCAGACACACACCTGCAGTTTCTGTTAAAGGTTTTGCAGTTTTTTTTATTGAAAAAACTGATTTGGAAACATTTTTATTTTGCCTGATTTTAACATTTTTTGATACTATGAATTATAGTCATCTTGGTCCTTAAAATGCCAAAATTTCCACTTAACTTTGTATTTTGCTCCGTCTGACATTAAATGATTGATCACTTTTTACCAAATACTTTTTTACTATTATCTTTGGGTTCTCTGCCCACTTCTGGTTTGCAGTTATTTAACTTTTTGGAGAAATTATTCTCCATTTTGTTGGTTTATAAAAAGAACACTTTCATTTCTAGCAACAAAAATGAGATTTTTCTTCTAAAATTTTCACTTTTTTTCAAATGTGTTTCTGAGTATAAAGAACCAAAAGCATCAAGTAAAACAAAATGATTACGTTTTGCTTCACATTCACAGTGAATGTGTGAAACACAGTGTAAGAATTTACACACTTTGCTTTATTGGCCACACAGAATTACTCCAAGGACCACAAATGGCCCTCGCGCCACATTTTGAACTCCCCTGTTTTGGGAGGAATCTGTTGCTAAAGTGACCCAGAAATCAGCGTCTCGGTTTGCACGCCCCGTCCCGATCCCGGTCGCCTCACTCTGGCAGGGGAAATGCAAATTCCTGGCTTTCTTTTCTTAATTGATTAATTGATGCTCAGGGCCTTTGAAGGCCTGGATTGTCCCTGTGCTCCCCTTCTCACAACCTGGGCTCTTGTTCCCTCTGCATGAAGGGCCATTCATCTCACACTGCACTGCAAAAACACAACATCTTACCAAGCATCTTTGGTCCAGGATAGTGGAAATATCTGAGTGCACTTGAAATAAGACAAAACTGACTTATTAGGAACATTTCAGCAAGAAATAGAAGCTGGTTTTCACTTTAATATTTGTGAAAGAAAAGTTCCATTTGTAGATTATTTCATATGTTTTTATATTTTTACTATAATTGCAAATGGAATAGATTTTAACTTTTCATAGAAAAAAATGTCCACTTTACTTTTAAGATTATTTAATTATAACTACTTTTTTATTAGGAATTATTTACTTAGAATAATCTCTTATATCTTTCTTAAAAGTTACTTGTAAGTTAGTTTTGTCTTATTTCGAGCGTACTGGTATATTTGCACTGGAAGCCAGACAAAAAAATACTTAACATTTTGTGTTTTTGCAGTGTAAAGTATAGAGCAAAAGATAAAAAATCTTACTAGTATTTTGGTTAGTTTATTGCAAATATGTCATGACACCTAAATAAGACAAAAGTAACTTTTAAGAAAGATATAGGAGCTTTTTTTAAGTAAATAATTCCTTGATATTGATTTCTAGTTATAAATTAAATAATCTGCCAATGGAACAAGACATTATGCTTACAATTTTATACTTATAACTCATATTTTTTGTCAATAATGAGGAATTATTCACTTAAATCAAGCTCCTATATCTAAACTCCTCAGTCAGTTTAGTATTCTAGAATATTTGCAATAAAAACTAGACCAAAAATAGTTGGTAAGATTTTGTTATTTCAGTGTATTGTGCAAAGTTGGATGTGTTTCTTTCATTTATGCTAATTAATTCCAATGATTTTTGCTCCAGCTAATGAAAACCCAAATTCAGAGTCAGAAAATTCAAATCTCGCAGAGCACCAATAGGAAAACAGGATTTTTGATGCAATCTTACGGCAGCTGTTGGAAAACCTGCTGACTTGGCAGTTTGACCAGCTGACCGTCACAACCAGGATGAGCTTCCTGAAGAAGCTGGACGTTCACAGACTCCTGACGAGGCACGTTAACGGAAAGTTGAGTGGAAGGAAAAAATTCCTAAATATATTTCTAAATATCTGACTTACACGTAACTTTTTAGTAAAGATATCGGGGATTATTTCACTCATGACATGACAATTTTCAATTATAAAAACCATTAAAGAAAACCACTTTTTTTCTTGCTCTTTTTGTCAACTACGCTACAAACGCAGACCCGTTGCCATGGCAACTGACTGACAACACCACTGATGTATCAGGATTCAACACCAAAACACACACTGACGTTTCCCACGCAAAGAACACAACAGTTTTGTGTTTTTAGGATTGATCTTTATTTATCTTTTATAATTAGCTGATCTCTGATCAGCTGCTATTAGCTAAGCTAACACTGCGGTGGTTCATTTGCTAATTTAAACACCTGCTCTGTTGATGGTCTGTCACAGTTGTTTAGGTCGGCTTTCTGTTTTTATTATTCTGTAACTGAACTGAAATGCACAGAATCCTGCCGCACATTGTCAGAGTCAAGCTAGCATAACTGAACTACTTCCTAGAACTTTTTCCTGACCTTTTCTAGTTGTTGTAGTGTAGCAAAAGCACTGAGTGCCTTTTTCTTTTATAGATCATGCGTACATTCGAGATTTAGCGCGTTATGTTAACTTGACAGCTGGATCCAATGCTAGTCATGTTGGCTAGCAGCTTTCTGCCCTCCAGGAAGGGGATGGGGGCGGGAACTTGCGTGTGTGACGTCACATTGCAACATGTTTCTAAATTAGCATAGGGGACAATTATGTAACCTACAACTGGGGCCCAGTTTTCCGCCCATCTTCTCCTTATTTGAGCCCAAATGAAATCAATTCTTGGGAAAGGTGGCGGTTAAAAACGAGTTTCCAACTACTGTGAGAAACGGAGGTCGTCCTGTCCTAACTGACTTTCTGCTGGTTTCTGTCCTCCTATGTTACTTGAACCTGTTCCCCAGAGGGAGGGGAACCACGGTCGCGTGGCGGCTCGTTCGGGTCGTCTTTAAACGAACCAGAATCCACATGTTCATTCCAGTGAATCTGATAACGCCTGCGGTCACAACTCCAGGAGTGGGAAACGGAAAAAGTACCAGAGAAAACAGCAAAACAGGTCGCAGTCCACTGCAGCGAATGCAAACTGAGATGTCATGGATAAAACACAGAAAACGGTTCAGCTGCACAGAGAAGGAAAATTTAAAAAAAAAGCAGAAGATGTTTTTCACAGAAAAGCTGAGCGGCTTGAATGTCAGGGCTGGTTTGTGTGCAGTGTACACACGCAGAGATAACTTCTCCTGTCTGACAGGTGGGCAGGTCACACTTATTCTTCTTTTTGCAATAAAATGAACTTGAGAAAAGAAAAAGGCTCTTGAAGCGGGAAATAAAAACCAACAGGCTTTTGTTTCTTTGAACCTCTTGCACAGAAACCACACCAACACTGCATCTCACATTTAACCTCAGTGTTCACAGATCAGCGCCGCCGTCTCTTTCTTCTTACCTCTTGGTCTTGTTCATTGCAGCGCTCTCCTCCTCCGGTGGCGATCCGCTCGGGCATCTGAGCTACAGCTCCATGGTTGACCCCTACTCTTCGTCCTCCTCTTCCTCCTCCTGTTGTGCGTGTTTACAGGCGGGCGAGATGAGGGCCGCCTCACGCAGAGAAGTCATCCACGCCCGAGGAAACCGGCCTGTTGCTCCGTCTCTCGCTGCTGCCTATCAACCGCAAATCAGCAGCAGAGCAGACCTCATGTTGCTGCTTCCTGCAACAAATTGAAGTTTAGAGAAGGCGCCTGAAATGAGCTTTTTGGGTGCAAGTGCAAGAGCTGGCAGGTTTCAAGCACTTGTCCCCCTTCAACATCAACAAGTCAGCATCTTAGATGGAGGAACTGGCTCTGGCAGATAGGGGAACTTGCGGCAGTTTCTGTTTGTGTGTAAAAGTGTGTGTAAATGTGTGTTTGTGCGAGGGGGAGGGGTGAGCAGCAAATACAAATGCAACACCGAGAGAGGAAGGAGGCGGAGAGGTGAGACAGTGATGAGCAATCATATGAGCCCCATCAGGAGGCTTCACATGTCACACATTTTCTGCAACACTTGGTAAAGCAGCAGCAGCAGCAGATAACGGGGTATTTCAGCAACATCTGATGTGGATGCAAAACAAAAAACAAAACGTTAGCGGCTGAAAAATTCAGGAAAATTCACTAAAATCACCAATTTGACGAATGTTTGGTGTCAAATCATAACCTACGTATTTTGAATCTCATAAATCAAATCAAACAGATGCTGTCTTCACTTTTTCTGGTGGATATGTTTCAAAATGGCCACCATACTTGTCATGGAGAATATGTAACATCTGCAGCGGTTATTGGCTGCATTGGTGGGCACGGCTAACTAAAAGGCTATGCAATTTGTGAGCTTAGATAATCTTAGCTCAGATAACGCTAAACCGATAAGGACATAACCAACTGGAAGGGAATCATTCCAAACACACAAAACATTAGCAAAAGCTATGCTAAGCAAATAAAAAGTGAGTGGAAGCTAACACCAACCTGCCAAGCAAACATAAAAAGTATTTCTACTCTTACTTGAGTAAAATTTCTGGATTTTTTACCCACTAAATGAAAAACAAACATGTTTTAACCAAAAATGTTTCTGTTAAAGTTTCTGATGTTTTTTATTGAAAGAATCTGATTTGGGGAAAAATCTTTGCCTGATGTTGTAATTTTTTGTTACTTATATGAATTATTTTCATTTTAGTCGTAGAAATACCAAAATTTCCACTTAACTTTGTATTTTGGTCCGTCTGATGATGTAATTTTGAAATATTAAAGAATTGATAATTTGATCAATCTAATACTTTTTTACTCTTATTTTTTGCTTTTACTTCAGTAAAAATAAGTTGAAGTACTGCTTGCTACCTGAGTGCCAATTTTGGGTATTCTGATTAGGGGCGCCGGGGAACAGGGGGCGCCAAAACAACAGCTGTTTGTCAGGAAGTTCTTATCTTCTCCTCTATGCGCACTTGAGCGATTTTTACAGTAGTAACTTGAAAACCAGTGAGCATCCTGCTTCCTGAACATGTCCATCATTCTGATTTCATCCTTTCATCGAGTCGCTCCTGAGGGGAGCAGGCCATGGCACAGGGCGGGTAGTGTTTGGGCCGTGCAGCTGGACGTGGCAGGCTCAAAGGAATCCTTGTCTTGTCACACCGGGAGGAAGAGCGGACCTAACAGGGGACGTTAATGTCTGCAGAGGTGGCTCTTCTTACCGCAGGAAGCTGCGAGGCTCAGGGTGCGTGATAAGGAATGCCAAAAGCAGGCAGACGAGACGCGGCTCCTGCGCACTGCGCATCCAAAGTCTGTGCGCTTGGATTTGCTCAACAGATTACACCAAAGCATTTCAGATTTAGAAACAAGAGAAACAAACAAACAAACAAAAAAACCATGGTGATTCCCGACACTTTAGTAATATTACTGTAATGTGAGGCAATATTTCTCTAAAACAGGAAGGGCTGAGGTCACAAGAGATGGTGAGACGTTTGACAAGAGGAAAAAGTCACTTCTCCCCACTGCAACTGGAGAGAGACTGAAATCTTCATCTGTCTTTGTTTAAAGCTCCGGATTTCTTCTGGTTTCACAAGTTGACACGGATTAATTTCATTAGCAACAAATGGGCTTGAGGTTTTTATCACGCTTTCGTGGCTTCTTTAAGTTTCGACATCAATATCTATGAGGAAGAACCATATGAACGTCATTGTTCTGAGTTTGGGTGCAGAAATCGCTGGGAGGTTGTCGCCCCCCAGTGGCAAAGCGCTGAAACTGCAGTCGTGACTCGTGAGTCGGCAGAAAAGGAGAATCCAGTCGGTTTCCCGGGACTCAAACTCCCAGAGTGCAACGCGGACGGCTCCTCCTGTAGGCTCGCTGCGACCCGGAGAGCTGCAGCTGTTGCAGCCCCGCCTCAGGCGTGTCTTTCTGCGGCTGCAGGTGGAGATGGAGAGCATATGGAGCCCGGAAAGGTAAGCGGCTTGGCGGGTTCCTGCTGCCCGGTGAGAGCGCCTGCTGCCCGGTGAGAGCGTGAGGGGCGAGCCGCCGACATGCGGAGCCGCTGCGCCGCTCCTCGGTGCGTCCAGACCCAGAGAGCACCGCTGTCCAAGGCCTGCCTGCTGGATGTTTACCTCCGGAGGCTCACCGGAGTGCTTATGAGCAAAGCAAGAGGGCAAAAATAACAGGTTAGAATGTCAATGATGGCTGCAAAATGCCTCCAGGTGTTAGGGTCGAAAAACCGAAGGAGGAAATTTTCACCAAATTTAATGTCAGAAATTTTCTAGAAAAAAGAACAGTTTGAAAAGTAAACAAAATGTATTTAAAAAAAAATCTAAATTTTTCTATGAAAAAATACAAAATTTTTGTTTGAAAAGTCAAAAATTTGCAGGACAAAACTCAAATTTCAAGGGATAAATCTCAGAATTTTATTTAGAAGACAGAGGAAATGTGAGTTTGAAAAGTAAAAAGAAATGCTAAAAAAAAAATTCTAGGAAAAAATGAGAAATGTCCTCGTTAGAAAAGTCGAAAATTAGCTGAAAAAAAAGATTTTTTTCAAATGTTCTCTAGAAAAAACGTTAAATTCCTGAGTTTGTAAAGTCAAAAATTTATTTTAAAAAATCGAGAAAAAGGTGAAAATTGTATTAGTCTGAAAAGTAAAAAAAACCCACAAAAAAACAAAGGTGGTAGAAAAAAAACAAATGTTTTCTTTAAAAAAAATTCTAATAAAAAATGCTGAAAAAACAAAAAAATCTGAGACCAATCTTAGATATTTTTCAGAAAAAAATGGGAAATATCAGAATTTGAAAAATGAAAAATGTTTCCCCAAAAAACATGTTTTAAATGTCAAGAATTTGCTTGGCAAAAAAAATGTTCAGTTAATCTCTGAAAATCTTTGAAATATCTACATTTTCCAAACTCAGAAAAAGTTTGGAAAACAGCAAATTCCCAACTGCAGCTCATCGATATATTGATGCAGCAGCCTGATGGAAAAAATTTCTAGACAACGTCTAGTATTGAGAAGTTTTAATTATTGTTATCAAACACCTCAGAAATATACAGAACCAAGAATGAGAATCAACTCATTTAAAGTTCAAACAAACACAAAGACCCAAGCAACATAAAATGTTTGGCTGTTGAACTGAAGCCTTCAAGCTAATTTACAAAGCTTTTACATTAAGGCTCATTAAAACAAACTTTAGTTTGGCCTTTTTTCTATTCTTCCTCTTTCTTTTCTCCCTCCCTAAAGGATAAGTCCTTTTTTGACACATTGTTTTGCTCATTTATCTTCAACCGGAGCTTTGGATGTTTGCATCACTGCACATTTATTGCACATTTGTTGCACGGCAGCTTATAATATTGCAAAGTGCGCGGTACCTACCGGGGCCACCAGGGGGCCCCGAGAGCAATTTATTTTCTTCTTATCAATAAAATAATGATTTCTTCATACATTAGCACATATATATGACTGTAAAAACAAATCACTTCATTGTGAAATTGAGTTTTTCATATTGAAATGACATAGAAATTATTACTAAAATAAATAATCAGTTCCACTGGGGGGCCCCCTAGTGGCCCTAAGCAGCTGCTTAGTTTGCTTATGCTTTGGGCCGGTCCTGGTCCTGAAGGACGTAAGTCTGAAAAATCGACCCAGTAATCGTTCCCATGGTGAATTAATCCTGGTTCCTGGTTCGTTTTGGGTTTCTGGTTCTGCCTTGGTTCCGGTTCTGGTCCGTCTCTCTCAGCGTTTGTTCTCTCTGAAGCCAAGTCTTCGCTCCTCTTTCCTTTTATAGCCTTCAGGAAGGAGGGGCCGTGTGTGTGTGTGTGTGTGTGTGTGTGTGTGTGTGTGTGTGTGTGTGTGTGTGTGTGTGTGTGTGTGTAGGAGTGTCCCACTTCTGCAGACATGGCAACCCACTGAACCGGGCTGGACCGACCCGGGATGGGATGGAGGAGTCCAGCAGGGTTCCTAACCCCTCCTCCTCCTCTCCCTCTGATGAAGAGCCTCTGCCTGCTGTCAGTCTCTCTCACATCGCGGAGAGAGCAGAGGACTCCGGCCGTCCAGCACACACACACACACACACACACACACACAGGGAAGAGCGAGGAAGAGGAGGGCGGGGGGACGGATCCGAAACCCGGCTGCCGGGAGAAATAAGACAGGATTTTTTTTCTGTTTCCTCCTGAGGAGCTGAGAGGAAGAGGAAGATGGCAGAAGGAGGAGAGGGAGAAGAGGAGATTCAGTTCCTGCGAACGGTGAGACAGAAAACATTTAATTTCCCCAAATCAGCGATTTAATTTATCATCCATTTGTGATGCTGCAGATTCGCTCTGCATTCGCGGCGCGGAGAGTTTTTACAGCCGAGCTGAAGAACCAGGTCCAGACGGCGGCCAATCAGAGCTGGTGGACATAAAAATAATAATAATCAAAATAGGAGTAAAATTCTGCCAAAACAATCTATTTTTAAGATTAATCTCAGAAAATTTGTAGAAGAAACAAGGAAACTTCTGAGTGTGAAAGTACAAAATTTGCTTGAAGGAACTTAGAAATTTTGAGATTATTCTAAAATATTTTCTAGAAAAAACCATCGAGATTTCTGACCTGGAAGTTAAAAATTCACTTGGAAAAACAAATAAATTAATTTTGTGATTAGCCTCAGAAGTTTTTTAGGAAAAACTTGAAAATTTCTGAGCTTAAAAAGTTTGAAATTTGTTTTTAAAAAAATGACATTTTTAGACTTATCTTAAAAAGAAATTCTAGAAAAAGCATGAACATTTCTGAGTTCAAAAAGTACAAAACGAACTGCTGGGAAGAATTCAGAAATTTGCAGATTAATCTCAGAAATATTTGTGGAAAAATTAGGAAATTATTAAATTGAAAATCTATTTAGAAAAAAACAGACATTTTGAGAAAAAT